TGGAAATGTGCTGGAAAAATGTGACGCCCACCGTGCTCCCGTTTGGGGTCAGGCCTGTACTCCAGGGCCCGGCCGTTTGCAGCCGTCCTGCAGTGGGAGCAGCACTGCCCGCCCTTCCTGCCCGGGAAGGGGGAGCCCCAGGGCTTCACTCTTACCCACTTTTGCAAACTCCCTCCAACCCACATTGTGTAACGAAGCACGGGACAGTGTGTCGGCATGCCCGCTGCTGGGGGGGCTCTAGTCCCCTTTTCCCAGCCTCTCCCAGCAGGGGGTGCCGGCTGCAGAAGGTCACAACTGCCCCAGTCCCAGCCTCTCCCAGCAGGGGCACTATTGCGGCTGGTGGGGGAGCTCTGGCTGTGGGGACCTCAGCGGCAGGGAGCTCGCTGGCAGGGGCTTCCCAGCTGCTCCAGCCTTTGGCAGCACCCCAAGCTGCTTTGCAGATTGACACTGGCAGAGATCAGTCCCTTCCCTGCCTGCTGACATGCAGCCGCCTCTGGGGTGGAACGTGGCAGCTGGTTCACGGTGAAGAACACGGGTTTGGCCCGCCCGCCGCCCCTGGTGCGGCGGAGCTGGGGGCTCTGGAGGCTGCTCAGAGCGGGAACTGGGCCATGTCGTTAGTGGGTGACTCGTTTGCTTGCTCTGAGCCCATCACCCTGCAGCCCAGTGACCCCAAGGGTGTGAAACATGCGCAGCCCGGCGGCCTGGCCAGCACCCCCCGGCGAGCCGGCCCCTCCCGCCCCGCCCCGCCCCGCCCGCGCTCCTGGCTCCCCCCCAGAGGTGGCTGCATTTCAGCGCCGGCCTTGCGGCGCTTCCCCCTGCAAAGCACACGCTCGGAAGGGGGCGGCGCCCTCGGCAGCTGCCCGGCCCCGAAGCCCCGGCGCGGCCCGGCCCGGGGGGCGCTGCTCAGCCGGGGGTTTCCCACGCACCTGTCCCGGGGCCGGCAGCATGCGGGGGGCGCCGGGCGCCTGGCTCTGCGGCCTCGGCCTCCAGCTCCTAGCGGGCGCCGCCTTCAACCTGGACGGGACCGACCCGCTGCTGAAGGACGGGGCCGGCGGGAGCTTGTTCGGCTTCTCCGTGGCCCTGCACCGGCAGCTCCGGCCCGAGCCCGCCAGCTGGTGAGTGCGGGGGGGGGATCGCCTTATTCCCCCCCCCGGAGCCTTCCCGTGGGGGCGAGGGGGGGTCCCCGGGCGCTCCGCATGAGCCGGGGGGGATTTG